AGTTACATTGTGCAGAGGTTACTTTTGTTGTATAACCTGTCTGTGGTCACACTGTAGCTGTTCCCATTGATGTCTAAGGAAAATGAATGAGTTCATGATTTTTTAGGCTATGTCATTATGGATAAAATTTATAACATTAATGTCATTACTACTTCTATGTGACATTTTGCAAACCACTTAGCTGTGCATTTATTGTGTCTGGGGAAAAGTTTAAAAAGATGACAAAAATAAGTCACAGTAAAGAATTTATGATCTTATAAAAAATATTTAGAAATGCTATGTGTTGGGGCACTGGGGTGGCTCAGTGGCTGAGCTTCTGCCTTTGTTTGGCTCAACATGTGATCCCAGGATCCTAGGATCCAGTCCCATGTCGGGCTCCCTTCATGGAGCCTGCTTCTCCCTCTGCCTGTGTCTCTGCCTCTCTCTCTCTCTCTCTCTGTCTCTCATGAATGAATAAATAAAATGTTTTTAAAAAATTATTTTCCAGATTTACTGAGGTATGAATGACAAATACACATTGTATTTATTTAATGTGTATAATTGATGTCTTAGTATACATACATATACCTTGTGAAATGATTCCCCCAATTAAGTTCATTAACCTTAAAAAATCACAAAAAGCAGAAAAAAAGAGCATAAGTCAAAAATAGGAAAATAGAAAAGGGTCAACAAATAGAAAACAGTAACAAATAGGGTAGATATTAATCTAGTCATTTCAATAATAATTTTCAATATCAGCAATCTGAAAATACCAATTAAAAGAAGAGCTGTATGAATCAGGAAACAAATCTCAACTACATGTTGTTTACAACAAATTCATGTTAAAAATAAATATTAAAAATAGATATAATTAAATATAAATATGTGTTGAGTGAACTGGGCATCTGCCTGGGCAGAAGACCACACATTTATTAAGTGAAGCCTCAGCACTTAGTTGTCAGATCTGATGCTGGGTGTGTGCTCTTCCTAGCAATCTCGGGGAGGAAGTGTTGAGTCTGTTTGCAGATGAGAAAACTGAAGCCCAGAGAAGCTGAGGATGAGCCTGTGTTCCTGGGTTCTTGAGGGGCAGAACTGGCATGGATTAAAAATTAAGAGATGAAGAAAGATATACTATGATCTTATTAACCAAAGGAAAATGGGAGTTGGTGTGTTAATTTCACACAGAGCAAAGTTCAGATCGAGGGGAGTTACCAGGGTTAGAGAAGGGCATTACATAATAAAGTGCTAACTCTCTTAGATTACGTAACAGTACTTAATGAGGATGTGCCTAAAAACAGAATATCAAAATGTATGAGACAAAAATTATAAGAAAAAGTAGATGAATCCATTATATTAGAGACTTCTACAACTTTACATATTAGAAATGAAAAGATCTAGCAGGCAGAAAATTAGTAGGGACATAGTTGAACTCATTAACATGATAAGTTAACAGGATATGATTAACATCTACGACTACTTCATCCAACTGCAGAATACACATTCTTGTCAAGCTCACATGGGGCACTCACCGAGATTAACCACATTCTGAGCTATAAAGCACATCTAAGAAATATTTCAAAAATGGAAATCATGTAGTTTCTATCTCAGACAATAATGGAATTAAACTTGAAATCACAAACAAAACGATGACTGGAAAATCCTCAAAGCATGAAGATTAAATACGACACTAATAAATTACACGAGTATAAAAGGAAAACTCAAGAGAAATTAAAAAAAAATATCTTCAGTGGCTCAGTAGTTTACCACCTGCCACCTTCAGCCCAGGGCATGATCCTGGGGACCCGGGATCGGAGTCCCACGTCAGGCTCCCTGCACGAAGCCTGCTTCTCCTTCTGCCTGTGTCTCTGCCTCTGTGTGTGTGTGTGTGTCTCTAATGAATAAATAAATAAAATCTTTTTTAAAAAAATAAAGATTTATTTATTTTACAGAGAGAGAGCATGTGATGGGGAGAGGGCAAAGGGAGAGAAAGACAGAAGCAGAATCCCTGCTGAGCACAGAGCTCAATGCAGGGCTCAATCCCACAACCCTGAGATGATGACCTCAGCGTAAATCAAGAGTTGGAGGCTTAATCAAATGAGCCATCCAGGCACTCCTCCCCCCCTTTTTAAGATTTATTTATTTATTTATATCTAAGTTTTTTTTATATCTAAGATTTTTTTAAGATGTATTTATTTATTTATATCTACTCCTAGACATCTCCCCCCCGAAAATCATGGCATCTCCAGCAGTAGCACAGTATATTTCCAAAAGTAGATGCTTGATTAATATTAAGGGAATAAATGAGCCAGTGAGCATATTTTCCAACTTATTAAGATTTAATTTCTTATAAATGCTTAAATAAACTAAGCAAATCCAGGTATGTGTTATTAAATTTTACTGAACAATAGGCTAAACGAGATAAGATGGGGATTGATAATCTTTTACTTTATTCTGCTCTTTTTATTGACCCAAATAATTTTATTACTGAGTTATTTTATATTTCCAAAGTAATACCAATGCCTGTCCTATTCTGGATTCAAAATAATTGGGAAGGTTTTCCAATTTGATTCACAGAATATAAAAACTCCTACTTGTAAACTTGATACATGTTAACAAATGTATGAAGAAAATGATTCATAAATTTATATTCAGAAGGTATTTAAACCATTTATTAAAAGGTTTTAACATTTGAAGAAGTCAGTCTCAGGTGTGCTGAGAGAGAGAGAAATGAAGATCTCCATACTACCACATAAACAGGTATATAAAGATGATATATATCCATGGTGAAGCAAGTGACCATTAGAGACTTGAAATACTCTAAGTTCAGACAAAAGGAGGTGATACAGGTTTTCAGCTCCACTAAGAATAGAGTGCAGCTCTCAGAGGAGGCCATAAGGAAGGACTTGTCAGCTGGTCAGGTTCCAGAGTTGGGAGGGCATCCGGGGGAAGTCTCAAATGAAGGGCTCTGTAATAATGGAAGGTGCTGGAACCGGACAAAATACCAGGTCCAGGGCAGAGTTAGCTCTCAGTAGGATCCTAGGAAAAGGAAACTCAAAGACAATCCCCAAATTATTATTTATTTTCATATCTACCTTCCCTTCCCTTTTAGTATTTTGGTTTCAAGTGCCTTTGTACTGCCTGAGATATATTTGGAATAGTGAGTGTATAAATAAATTAAGAGACAGTAGGTTGGCCTTGGGTTGAGAGGAGAACCATGTTACCTTTAGGCAAAGTCAAACCAGAGGTCTAGTCCCAGCTCTGCTAGTGACCATTCTTGTGAGCTTGAAAAAAATTGCAAGTTCTTCATCACCAAGTGAGTTTGATAAGCTCCATTATTTGGAATGTATATATGTAACCACATGACAAGATGACTGGAAAATATTACCCAATATTTAAAGAATAGCAATTAATATTATTTTGATCCCAAATGATACCACCCACCTCCCTTGTTGTTGTTTTTTTTCCAGGAAGTGTCAGAGAATATGTGGTATTCTTGGATAAAGAACACCAAATCAACCAAAAAAAAAAAAAAAAATTTAGCCTAGCTAGTAAAAGTAAGTAAATTTTCCCCATTAGAACATCTTCATTTAATTTAGGCATGGAGTTTTCTTTCTCAGCTGGTTGTAACTCAAGTTCCTAGAATTGGTGTCAAGGTACAAGTCCTCCCATCCCTTCCAGGTGCCCTTCCAATCAAATGACCTCTGTTAACATTCAATACACCCTCATCAAAAGCCAACCCTTGCTCAGAGTTTGCCAAATTACATCCAAGATAATCTAATTAAAACACCCTTAAAAAAACAAAAACAAAAACACCCTTTTAATGAAGCAGGCTCTGGCTCTCCCAGCTTGGGGCAAGCAGTGCTGGCACTGTGGCATCTTGCCTGAAGGGGGTATCACCCTTATTTCTGAGAAAGTCCACAAGGATGTCATGTATAGGTCATCTAATTTGCATGCTGCATTCATCTGCACTGGAATAGGAACAAAGGACACCTTGCTTTCCTGCCCCAGGTGATGATTTCTCTTTGGTTGACCCACAATCCCACAGTAACTCCTAGCACCAGTTTTGTTATATAGACTGACTGCTTTTGTCCCTTTTCACCAAATGCCTATGTTGAAGCCCTAACACCTAGTGTGAAGGTAATTGGAGGTAGAATCTTTGGGAGATAATTTGGTTTAGATGAGGTCATGAGGATAGCATACTCATGATGTGATTAGTGTTCTCCTAAGAGCAAAAGAAACCAGAACTTTCTCTCTGTACTATGTGAGGACACATGAAGAAGGTGGCCATCTGTAAGGTAGGAAGAGGCCTGTCACAAGAAATCGAGTCTGCTGGCACCTTGTTTGTAAACTTCCCAGCCTCCTAACTGTGAAAATGTCTGTTGTTTACGTCATCGGGTCCATGGTATGTTGTTATAGCGGCCAGACAGACTAACAAAGGGTGATGTCTCACAGTTCTCAAGTATACCGTTGAGGGGTTCTGGCCTCTACCCACCAATTCCACAATCTCAGCTAGCCCACCACACACTGTAAATGAGAATTACATCCCACTGAGGCCTGGCAGGTTCCTAAAGTCCCAAACTGCATGGCTCAGGAAATTTCCACATAATTATCTCAAAAAGATGACCCTCCTCCTCACTCATTCCTTTGACTCGACCTGTGGGCCACAGAGGTTATTTCAATGCTCACTTGTCTGAGTGGAGCTCACAGGCTCTCAAATTCTGAGTAAAGGCTGGATTTCCTTTATATTTGCATCTGAAGTACTAACACTGAGCCTACCCATGAGCAGATATTCACTGTGACAAACAACCAGTAAACACAAACTACAGTTTCTTGAGATTTAATTTCTTTCTTGAACAGATTAACAAAATCGAAGAATAAATCCTTTAATTTTGTAAAACTAAAGACTAAATGAACAAATAAAACTGAATTAATCATGTTTAATTTTTTTTCCATTCCATTATCCTTACTATTTTATCATGAGATGCTTTCATATTGCTAATAATATAATTCCTATTGTGATGTTATATTTTCTTATCTAGATAATAACAAAACTCAGGTTTCACTAAGGGTGGAAAGATATTCCGGGGCATAGCCCTGGAAGTTGCAATGACTTTGGCAATAGCGCTAGCTCTGGCTTGGGTTCTCTCCTCCTCATCTCGCAGAGCTTCTTCATAATAAGATGGGAAAGCACTGGGGAGGGTATCGTTGACTTTTGCCAGAAATTCCAGGACTTGCATCTTGCTGGTTTCAGCTTGAGCTTTCGGACCCCACAGGAACTCATAGCGTGGAGGATCACTGTTAGACACCTGGCGGTATTCTAGGTACTGCAGCCTCACCAAGTCTTTGGTGATGAGCTTCCTGGGCTCTCCGTAGATGAAGTGCTTCCTCCCGGCATATACTCGCATCATACCCAGGAACTTCCAGATGTCTTCCTCAGCTGCGCAGTTGCCCTTCATGAAGATCATTCCCAGGATATTCATCAGCAGACCGGTCTTGGGTAACCCCCTGCCGGCACGCACCCTCCCGTTGTTGGGGAGTTTGAGTTTGCTGATGAGGTCATACGACTGTCTGGTTGAGTCCATTTCCTTCAGGTCGACTGCGAAGACAATCTCAATGCGCTCAGAGGCTTTCCTGAGGATCTCAGGAAATTGGTCTTCATAATGATGGCCGATAATCTTCAGCATGTCTTCCTTCAAAATGAGCTGCTTCATTTTATACTTGTACAGAAGGAACTGCTCCAGCAGGCCAGGCTTCCTGGTCAAAGAATCTTCACCTACATTCTCAGTGTAGTAGGCGGCCTCATAGGCTCTATCATAATCTTGGTTGTTGTACTCTGCATCAGATCTAGCCCAAGAAGCACCTAAAGAAGTAAAGGTGGTGGCTTGTGCTCTTCGATACCACTGGGAAGTGCTACTTGCCCGAACAGGAGGCTGAATCTGGGCAGTATCTTCGTACTGAGGAGGAAAGGAGGCAGTGGACTCCTTTTCTACTACTGCTATGGCCTGAGCATTCTCACCAGCCTGAGCCTCAGCTTGAGCCTGGCGGCGTTTCTCAGAAGCCTGGAGCTTACTCTTCTGACTCCGAGGCATGATGCACTATGGTGACAAGCAGCAGGCAGGTGTATGAACAGGAGCTCAGGAGATGTGAGCACTTGGAGGAAAGAGAATGAGATGATGTAAGCACCTTCGGTAGGGAGTTTCTACCTTGGCTTTAACTGAAGCTGCTTCTGCGGGTTTACTCGAGGGCACTGCTCCGCGGACCCACAAGGTTCCTGTTCTAATCAGCCTGTCCCCCTGAGAACCCTATAGAGGAAGGGGACCTTACACTGCTGTCTGCCAGCCCCGCCTGGGGTATACTCGAGTGACATCAGAGGCTGCCAGTGGGGAACTTCTGTTCTGGGCTCGTGGAAGAGTCTTCTCTGTTTAACTTCAGGATCATCTTCTCAACCCTCGACAGGTCCTGGGCCTCCTCTATTCTACTACTGTGAAGTTGATACCTCAAACCAAAGCCAGAGACCCCAGAGAAATAAGTAAAGTAGTAGTTCCTTACTCCCTGTCCCTGTCAGGGGCATCCACCTGAGATCTACGTGGAGCTCTCTCCTTCATGAGCTGTTTTGGCCCTTAGTTCTCATTCAGGGTGCTCCCTCGGTCTCTAGCTAGTGCCTGGTACACCTCCCTCCTGCTCACTGGTGGCTGTACCATCACACTAAAGATCTCTTGTCTTTGAGATTTAATATAAATAAATGAGAGTAAGGCTTAGCCTGACCACCCTGCCCTGAACCTGCAAGTGCTGAATGCAAATGTGGGGATCTGATTTGTTTGTTATCTTTTTATGTTCAGTGGTCCCCTCCATCGTTCCCTTGTCCCCTGCTCATTGAAAAGCAAGGAGCAGATAAAAAAAGGAAGGTTATGTGTGCACGCATATGGGGTGGTGTCCCAGAAACCAAGGGGTAGGGTGGATGCTTCATTCTCCTTGCTGAACTGGACACAGAAGGGGCTGGTTCAGTTTGCTAGCTAGGGGCCCTTTGATGACCTTGACTGGTGGTCTCAAGAAGGGCTGGCAGGCAGCAGATACCACATCACTGGAGATTGAGGAGATAATGGTGGGGGGGCAGTAGAGAAGCTATAAGAGTGCATATAAATCCAGTAAGAAGCTCAACTAGGAGGGAAAGAGATAAGTCTGGGGAAGATGCACTGGCCAGGAAGGCTGGATTTGGTTCTGTTTTGAAGATAAGAAAGGCTTGACCTTATGTGTCTGTAGTGGGGAAGAAGCCTGTGCCCCTGCCCCAGAGCTCCCCAGGATTGTTGGCTGCTGGAAGTTCTATGCCACCTCGATGTTATAGAATTGTTGATCCCCTCAGATCTCAACTCGGAGTTCTGCAGCCTTGATTTCCTTCAAGATATAATACCCTTCCCGACATCAAGGCTTTCAGCTTCCTGATCCTTCAAATATTGAAGGAAGCCTCACGCCCACCTGACCGCCATGCTTGGTTCCCCCGGGAGCCTCTAGTCAGAATGGAACCCCCTACTCCGCAACTTCCCCATTCCGGCTGGTGAACTGGCAGCTCCCACCAAAGCCCGCACCTTCTTGTGACCCTCCAGGCAGAAATCTACTTCAGCCTGACTGCTCTGCTGTGGGGCGGGAGGACTGGTGGGTGGAGGCTGAGGGGTAGTGAGTGGGGGGCACGGGAGGCGGTGGAGGCTGGGGGGTTAGGGAGTGGAGAGGAGGGGGTGGGGCGGGGGGGTAGGGAGGAAGCGGGGTGGGGGTGGGGAAAGGAGAGCGGGAGAGGGTGGTAGAGGCTGGGGGGTAGGGAGTGGGAGGTTCAAAGAGGGGGAGTGGGGGCTCGGGGGTAGGGAGTGGAGAGGGGGTTTAGGGCTGGGGCGTGGGGGTGGGAGAGGGGGCTGGGGGGTAGGGAATGGAGGAACATATCAAAATGGGGGGTTCGGCTCAGAGGAGTGGGGCGTGGGGCTGGGGGGGGTAGGTAACAGTGGAACATACCAAAATGGGAGGTTCGGCTCAGAGGAGTGGGGGCAGGGAATGGGGGGGTAGAGAATGGCGGAACATATCAAAATGGGAGGTTCGGCTCGGAGGAATGGGGGCGGGGAATGGGGACATGAGGGATGGGGTGGCATGAGGTGGGGGTGGCACTTTTGGGGGGCGAGGGCGTTCTGGCATTTTTTAGTCAGGTTCCTCACCTTGACTTGTGCTCGGGTCTGAAAGATTCCTCACTCGCTTGGCCCAAGGCGGCTGCCGAAGCAAAGTCACGCACCTCCTCAGGCGCCCCAAGAGGAAGTGAGGACTCTTCTTCCTGTCACCAACGACAGGGCCTCTCAAGGCTGGCAGCAGGGGTGGGATCTCTGGTGCCCCCTCTGTTCTGGGGTGGAGAACACCCTCAGTTTCATACAGGACTGTCACTTGGCCCTCATCTATGACCTTGGGCTCTTCCAACCCCCCCCCCCTTGCGATGCCCTCCCTCCCATCCTTGAGAACTTTCTTGTGGAGATGTCACTCCGACAGCATAGACGGAAGAGTGGGGGGGGGGTCGCTGCATGACTGCCCACTGCCCAGGTGACTATGTTGCTGTGCTCAGCCTCCATTCATAGTTCCCATCTGGGCTCCTGTCTCTAACGAAAGGCTTCCAGAGCAGGGCCACAGCCCGCCAAGCCCTTGAGTCGTCTCTCTAGTGCAAATCGTACAGATGAGTCTGTGTCCCAGGAGTGATATGACACGGGGAAGGTAAAGAACAAAAAAGACACTCAGCTTGGCCAATGGAATATCCGTAAAAAAAAACCCCACCCATATATCCCTTCTCTTTACTACCCAGACTTGGCATCTTCGGTAACTTCTGTTCTAAAATACTTACCATGGGAAAAGACCGATCCACATAATTTCATGAGACTGACATCTTTTTTTTTTCTTTTTCTTTTTCTTTTAGGCTGCTATCTTTTGAAGTTAAACAACACTACGTATTGTTAGCAGATATTATATCTTCCTGTCATTATTCATAACTCTCATTTATTTTGATATTTTTATTGCTCCGGTCATATATTCCTTTTTTTTTTTACCTAATTGGCTGAGATATATTTTGGAGTAGTGACAAAGTGAATACACGTTCACAAGGTCGACTTCAGGGTGGGAGTGGTAGGCCAGTGTATGCCCTGGATAAATTCACACCAGGGCTTTGGTCTAGCTCGGACATTTACCACCTTGTGAATAGGAGACTGAAGTTTTTTATATGCCAACTGAGTTTGATAAACTATATTTTAAGACTTTGAGAATGTAGGCACTGTATATAAAGCATCTGTCAAGATGACTGGCTAATACTGGGCATTTAATGAAAGGCAGTGATGATGATTTTTACCTAAATAATATCCTCCTATGGAGGAATGTTTTTTAAATCCAGGGTCTGTCCTTCAAAATGCAATACAAAAGAATATTAAATCAGCCAAAAATTCACTTTAGCAAGTAAAATTAAGTATCTTTTCCCTATTAGAGTATCTATTATTTCATTTGGGGGTGTGGCTTTTCTTTCCCTGGATGCCGCTCAGAACTCCTTGCATGTTGTCAAAACCCCACTCTTTTTCTTCCCAGTTCTTCTTCCGTTCAAATCACCTCAATTTTCATTTGTTTTGTCCCCACCAAAATCTAGCCTTCTCTTAGAATTTGCAAACTATAGTCAAGAAAACATAATTAAAATACTTTTTTAAAAAAGATTTATTTATTTATTTATGACAGAGAGAGAGAGAGAGAGAGAGAGAGAGAGAGGCAGAGACACAGGCAGAGGGAGAAGCAGGCTCTATGCAGGGAGCCTGACGTGGAACTCCATCCTGGGTCCCCAGGAGCGGCCCTGGGCCAAATGCAGGCGCTAAACCGCTGAGCCACCCAAGGATTCCCTAATAAAAATGCTATTTTAGGGATCCCTGGGTGGCGCAGCGGTTTGGCGCCTGCCTTTGGCCCAGGGCGTGATCCTGGAGACCCGGGATCGAGTCCCACGTCAGGCTCCCGGTGCTTGGAGCCTGCTTCTCCCTCTGCCTGTGTCTCTGCCTCTCTCTCTCTCTCTCTCTCTCCCTCTCTCTCACTATCATAAATAAATAAAAAAAATAAATAAAATAAAATAAAATGCTATTTTAGGGCAGCCCCGGTGGCTCAGCGGTTTAGCGCCGCCTTCCGCCCAAGGCGTGATCCTGGGGACCCAGGATGGAGTTCCACGTCAGGCTCCCTGCTTGGAGCCTGCTTCTCTCTCTACCCAGGTCTCTGCCTCTCTTTCTGTGTGTGTCTCTCATGAGTAAATAAATAAAATCTTAAAAAATAAACAAATAAATAAAAGAAAATGCTATTTTAATGCAGTGGATCCTGACTGCACCAGTTCAAAGCAGAAAGTGTCAATACAGTGGCTTGTGTGTGTGTCATCTCAAGGGAGTTCACCCTTTTATCTTGAAACTCCCTGGAGCCATGTGTTTAGAATGCCTATTTGTGCACTACATTCGTTCTTTTCCAGTAACAAAGACACTTTTGATTCTTGCCTTTTCGGGGCTGAATTGCGTCCACCAAAAATTCATGTTGAAGCCATAACCCCTCCCCCCCCCCCCAGAATGTGACTCTAGTTGGATATGAGGCCATGAAAGAGATGGTTAAATTAAAATTAGGCCATTAGGGTGGGCCATAACCCAGTCTGACTGCTTTGCTTATGAGAAAAGACTAGGACCCACAAAAAGATACCAGAGATTCATGCACACAAAAGGACAACCAAATAAAGAGGGTAACTATATGGGAGCCCAGGAGAGGAACCTCAGAGGAAACCAATCTTGCCAGCAGCTTGGCATTGGACTTCTAGCCTCCAGAACTGTGAGAAAATAAATTTTGTTTTAAACTGCCCAGTCGGGAAGCCTGGGTGGCTCAGCAGTTGAGCGCCTGCCTTTGGCCCAGGGCATGATCCTGGAGTACCGGAATCAAGTCCCACATCGGGCTCCCTGCATGGAGCCTGCTTCTGCTTATGTGTCTGCCTCTCTCTCTCTCTCTCTCTCTCTCTCTCTCTCTGTCTCTCATGAATAAATAAATAAAATCGTTAAAAAATAAATATAAAAATAAATTGCCCAGTCTGTGTTATTTTGTTATGGCATTCCTAACAGGTTAATACACTGCCCCAGGTAGAGGTTTCTTTCTGGATTATCTATGATGCCAAAGTGATTGACCAGAGCTTGTTTTAATGGCCTCCTTTTCATCCCACTAGGTGAGGAAAGAACTTCCATACTGTGGTTCTATGGACTTCAAATACACGCCACTGGACACTGTAGAGATGAGACAGATAGACATCTGGTTTTGAATCATGGGTACTCACTTGGCTGGAGGAGAAAGGCATTGCGTGCTACACAGCACAAAATGGGGGCTACACCTAGGAACACAACGCATGAACGAGTCTTTGGAAGGCAGGATTTGGTGTCAAGAGTTTGAGGTGACCTTTAGTTCCCGTGGTACCATGGAATCAGCTTCTTTGAATAATTCTGCAAGCTGATAGGGAACAAAAAACTGCTACTTAGGAATAAGCAAGGTATTAGGTGCCTTGTCCCCTTGATAAAGATGGTTGTTTGATAGTGGACCTTATCTGCAAGTGCACAGTATGGAGGGGAACTTTCATTTAGTCAATTTGAGGCCCTGTCGGTTTCACTCAACGTCAAGGAGCCTGTAATATTGAACCTTGATTTTAGACCTTGTGGCAGCAAGTGTAAAATTCCATTCAAAGATTTTTCTTTTCTCTCAACTCGGAGATGCATCATCTTAGGGTATGGCCTCTGATCACCATTCCCGCGACCTTAGTCTAGCCCATCATGTAGCTTAATTTGAAATTACATCACACAGATTGACCCTACAATATCCCGAAACTTAAACTGCCTTGTTTCGGGGAATACACACGCTACTCTGCCCTGAGACACCTTTCTGTTTTTTGGTGTTTTTTTTTTTTTAACTTTCTTATAAGACAGAGAGGGTATCTTAGTATTTTCCTTTTGATCATAGCTACTAGTTTCTAAAGTTCTATAGGAGAGGCTGGGTCTTTATCTTAGCATCCCCAGTCCTAGCATGGAGCCTTCCAGAAAGCAGATTACTCACTAGACATTTGGGGAATAAAAGAGTATGAGGTCTATGTTGTAATGATATAATATTTCCTGAATTCTTTAATAAATAAAACACATTGAAGTATAAATCCCTTAATTTTATAAAACAAAAGACTGAAGAGTCAAGAGCATCAAAGCTGACCATGTTTTATTATTTTTTTATATTCCATTGTTGCAGTAAATGGGATTCTTTCACATACCCATGAAAATCCCTATTGTGATGTCATATTTTCCTTAGATGATTGGGAAAAAAGCCTCAGGTATCAGTAGAGGCGAGAAAAGCTGCTGGATGTGCCCCTATAACACATACTGGCTGTAGCAGTAGTGCCTGGCCGAACGTCTGGCTTGGACTCTCTCTTCCTCATCTCGCAGAGCTTCTTCATATCTTGTTGAGAAAGCACTGGGAACTGTATCGCTAACCTTGGCTAAAAATTCCAGGACTTGCATCTTGCTGGTTTCAGCTTGAGCTTTCGGACCCCACAGGAACTCATAGCGTGGAGGATCACTGTTAGACACCTGGCGGTATTCTAGGTACTGCAGCCTCACCAAGTCTTTGGTGATGAGCTTCCTGGGCTCTCCGTAGATGAAGTGCTTCCTCCCGGCATATACTCGCATCATACCCAGGAACTTCCAGATGTCTTCCTCAGCAGCGCAGTTGCCCTTCACGAAGATCACACCCAGGACTGTCATGAGCAGACCGGTCTTGGGTAACCCCCTGCCAGCACGCACCCTCCCATTGTTAGGGAGCTTCACTTTGCTGACCAGGTCGTAAGAGTGGCCGGTTGAATCAATTTCTTTCAAGTCGACTGCGAAGATAATCTCAATGTGCTCAGAGGCTTGCTTAAGGATCTCAGAATAATGGTCTTTGTAATTTTGGCCAATAATATTCAGTATATCTTCCTTCATGATGGGTTGTTTCATTTTATATCTATACAGAAGAAACTGTTCCAACAAACTCACTTTCATAGTTAGAATATCAAAGCATTCGCTCTCACTAGAAGGTAAGGGCTCAGAGAAATAGAGATTTTCCTCATCTTGACTGTTCTCACCTTCATCAGATCTTGTACCAGAAACATCAGAAGTAATAATGGTGGTAGATGAGGCTCCGCAAGACTCCTGGAAAGTGTTAGTTGACTCAGGAGCTGATAAACTCTGGGTATTCCCCTCCAAAACAGGAGAAGAGGAGATGGGGGACTCTTCCTGTGCTTCAGGGCTCTGAACTCCCTCGTTACTCTGGGAGTCACCATGAGACTGGTGGCGTTTCTCACGAGTGCGAGTGCGAGTGCGGTGCTTACTCTTCTGACCCCGAGGCATACTGAGTATGATCAGGGACAATGGTCAGAGTGTGAGTAGGAGAGAAAGTGATGAGGAACATTGACAGGATGTCACCTTCAGCAGGGAAATAGCACCTTGACTGGTGGTATGTGAAGAAGGCTACATTTGCAGTTTTCCTCAAGGGCACTTCGCTACAAATCCACAGGGCTCCCCTCCACCTAATCAGCCTATCCTTTGGAAAACCTGTGAAGGAAGGTAGAGTGAGGTTTAGGCTGCTTCCCACCAGACCTGCCTCAGGCATCCTGGGGTGACAGGGGAGGGGGCTGCTGGCCTTGGGGTTGAGGAGTCTCTTATTCAAGACCATCATTCAACTAGTGGCAGGTCACGGCTTTCTTTCCCTCTGTTCTTCTGAGGTTGACATCACAAACCTCCCTGGCACCCACAGTAAGGAATTGATGGGGGTCCTCAGCTTGTAATTCCTGTCTAGGTCTGAATGTTCAGGGGGAGCTTTTCTATCCTGGCCTCCGTGGGGTCCTCGAGTCCTCATTAAGGGTCCTAACTTTGGATCTGTATGGGGCCTGGCTCCCCCACCCCTTTCAGTGAATGGTAGCCACACCTCCAAAATAAGGATTTCATTCCCTGTAAATATGATATAATTAAGTGTTGAGGGAGTTTCGACTTGATAGCCTGGCCCTGGTTCTTAAGGACTAAAACCAGAGGTGGATGGAGTCAGATTTTTGATTACTCTTTCTATTTAGTGGTGGGTAGTCCCTTGGTCCTTGCTTCCAACTTTGACCCTTTTCCATAAAAGGCTTGAAATTGCTCCCTCCCTCACCCTTAGGCCTGCCCCTCATATCAAGGCCTGTACCACCCTGAAACCCCTAGAAGAAAAGGATCTCCTTACCTGACCATACCTGTCCTTGGTCTCCTAAGAAATTAACACTATCATGCTCCTACTATTTAGGGGTACGTGGCTCCTTTTGTCCTCAGGGTATTCACTTCAGCCTCTGGAAACACCAAGAAAGCTTTCCACTGCTATCACTTTAGCCATACCCCTTATACCAAGTCTCTCACCTCTTTGTGACACCCTAGGGTGAAGTGACTATGTCACATTATGTCAACAATGCCCAGGTATCTGAGGATTTCCAGCAAAGGCAGGATTGTAAATGAGTCTCAGTTCTGAGGGAAAAGGTTTCCCTAATTTGTGAGACTACTTCCTTTGCTTGCCTGAGGTCCCTTCCCATACACCAAGGCCCTCACATTTCTGACACTTTTCTGGCAGAGTCAGCCTGACCGCCTTGTCTGAGGCATGCCATGGTTGCAGGGGCAATCTCTGTGCCACCTCACTATTCTGGGGTCTGTGATCCCCACAGTCACCACTCAGGACTCTTCCCTTGATGCCTGGCAGTGCCTGAGATGCCTCCCTCTATTGTCCAAGGTCTCAAAGCCACAGACCCAGCCCATCACTCCCTTAGGTGCCAGAGACAAGTCTTGTATGGATGGAAGTTTCTGTAATTGTCCTGCACAACCACCCACCCCAACCCGCGTGTACACAGGCAGGATGTTATTTGTGAGGCTTCTGCTTCATGAGTGACCTCGGGAGCCTGGTTAGTTGACATTAGCTGGTCTCCAGGTCAGAACTGGTCTTCTGGTTGGGATGCCAAGAGCTATAAATTTTGCTTTACATACCCCCTGGCTTCAAGCCAGGCTGCCTCCCTGCCCCCAGAATGAAATCCAGGAGGGGAGGCAACCACACCTAGCCTGGGCTCCTTGAAGCTATAAAGACATGATAACATAGGAACACAGCTCATGCCACACTGCATGTGGGCAAGCAAATGTTTAACTTAAGACCCCATCATTTCCCCTATAAATACAGCGGTGATGGGGATGGTCAGTTGGAAGTCTCACCTGAGGGGAGGATGGTCTCCTCACACTTCTCCATCCAGACTCCAGCTTGGCTGACTCCACAGGGCTTCCCCAGCTAGTGAGAGGCTGGATGTTGTAAGTGCCCGATTTGATGTAACTTTGGCTTATTCTCCTTTACTGCTTACTATTGCCCTCATCTATGCATAGATTTCCCTTTTCGTCTATTAGATTTTTATAATATCAATAAGGTGTTTCTTCCCCCTCAAAAACAAGAGTAGGACAGCCGTGAATCTTTTCTTTACAGCAGGAGGGAAAGTCAGGGAATGCTGCATGAAGCTACTCCTGCCTGTGCCTTTCCAGGTATGTTATGAGGATTCAGGCTTCTTCTTTTTTTTTAAAGAAGATTTTATGTATTTATTCATGAGAGATACAGAGAGAAAGAGAGGCAGAGAGAGAAGCAGACTCCATGCAGGGAGCCCGATGCGGGACTTGATCCCAGGACTTCAGGATCATGCTGTGGGCCAAAGACAGGCACTAAACAGCTGAGCCACCCAGGGATCCCCGAGGATTCAGGCTTCTTAAGGCCTTCTCTGATCCCCGTAGGAGTTTGCCGCTAATATTCACTTAGGATCTTTACCTTGACTCCTAGCAGACCTTGGTTTTCCACTTTCTTTCAACTTAAGATCACCCATGTAGACCAAAGTTCTTGTAGCCCTGAGAACCCTGAAAATAAGTGAAGAAAATCTTGGCAGCTCTGCCTTGGCCTCCTAGGTCTCAGAGGAGTCACAGGCCAGTCTTCCCATGATTTTAGTTCTTATGTAGCCCTGAGAACCCTGAAGATCGGTGAAGGAATGCTTATCTTGGCAGCTCTGCCTTGGCCTCCGAGGTCTCAGAGGGGTCAGGCCAGGCTTCCCTTGATTCTAGTTATCATGGGGTGTTTGCCTCCTTAGTCCTCATTCATCAGAATTTTCATATCGACTCCTGTCTCTTCTTTGAAAGGCTTCTGGGAAATACCTCATCCTTCCAAACTCTTGCTCTGTCTCCCTACTGCAAAGCTGGCAGCGAATGAGTTGATTGCCAGAGGTGATGTGAGATGAAGGAGCTAGAGGAAAGATGGGGGCCAGGGCAGGTGGTGTGCTGTCATAGAAAGCAAGCTCATTTCTTCATTCTCTTCAAAGACCTAGCCTCTTAACATAATACCTCTTCTAACAAATTTACTTTCCACAGTGAAGGGACTGAGTCACATGACACTGTGATTCCCTGATCATTTGGGGTTTACTGACATTTCCTTTGTTGATAATGTTGTTACTGAATATTGTCTCTTTATTCATTCTACACACCTTGATTTTTCTATTTTTATTGCTTATTCCTCAGGCTATGTATTCCAGAACCATACTGTGGTATGAAGTTGTGCTTTTTAACACCTGAAGTACATTTTGGAATAGTGAGCAGAAAAATGAAGTAAGTGACACAGGTGTGCCTCGGGCTGGGAGGAGCAGTGTGGGCTCTAGAGGAATTCAGAACCAGGGTCTAGGCCAGGACAGTCACTTGCCAGCCTTGAATTTGAGACTATTCTAAATAATTTATCTCCAAAGTGACTCTGATAACATTTTTCATGTAGCACTATAGAAATATATGTGATGATGTATTTAACACCTAGCACAGTACTAGGCAAAGTTCAATGCTTTTTAAAAAAAAATTTTTAAAGATTTTATTTATTTGAGAGAAAGAGAGAGCACGAGCAGGAGGAGGGTCAGAGGGAAAAGGAAAAGCAGACTCCCAGCTGAGCAGGGAGCCTGATGAAGGGCTCAATCCCATGACCCTGAGATCATGACCCATGCTAAAGGCAGACACTCAACCACTGAGCCACCCAGGTGCCCCAAGTTTGGTACTTTTAATGAATGGAAGTTATTACTAAGATGATTTTGACCCCACATAATAACAGTTTCCTCACATAATTTTATATCGAGCCTGTATTAAAGAATATACAACTTCAAACAATAGAAATCCAAATCCACTGAAATGCTGCTGGGCAAATAAAATGCAGTAGTATTTCTACACCAGACCATCTGTTTTTTAATATGGGTATGGGGTTGTCTTCTCCAGTTGGATGCAACTAAAAGTTCCTATTTGTGTCAAGGTCAAACAACTTCCCTCCTGGGTCCATTTTCATCCAAACCACCCCCTATTTTCATTCATTTTATTACCACCAAAATTCGAGCTCTCCCTTAAGAGTTTGACAAATTATACTCAAAATAACTTAGTTAAAATGCCCTTTTAATGGAGTGAGCTCTTACTTATGCTGCAAAAAGTGGTAAAGTCCAGGTGCTTCTTGGAATCTCACTTCAGTGGAACATTACCCTTATTACTCAGAAACTCTCTGGACATTCTATGCCTCAAAAACCTTATTTGTGTACTGTTACCTGCACTGGGGCAAGCATATAGGACTCCTTCCATCCAGCCTTCAGCCCAGGACTGTCACTGGTTTTCCCAAAATTCCAAAGTAACTGTGAAAATCTATTTTCCTTTCTAGACCTAGTCTCTCAACTCAGAACCACCAACTAAGGACCTGGTCCCTCCCAGTCCACCAATTCCACCCAGCCCATTGCACAGCCTGGCTTAAAATGACCTCACCCCAAGGGACTGGCATTTTACCAAGGCCAACAGAGCCTTGATCAAGACTGTTATCATCTAGGACCTCCCCTCCCCTTATATACCTCTTTATTTTACTTCTCATTTATTTATTTCTCAGAAAGTATCTCACCATCTTCATTGTATGAAAACTGCTGCTAGAGTATACATTTCTACGTGCGAGGGTTCAATGTTATTTTTCTTAACATCCAGTGCGATTAAGGACTATTCCAAAGAGCAGATGCTCAATGCTTGAGGAAAGAGGGAACGAGCAAGAAGTTTATTTGATTTAATTTCTTATACATTTTGAATTAGCTACATATACTCAGGTATATATTATTTAATTTTACAAGCAAAGTGCACAGAGAATAAGGCAACGAGTTAACCACCCTTTACATATGTGTCACCATTTTTTATCACAAATATTTTCCTATAAGGTTCCTTCATATTCCCGTGAAATAAATTCATTCCAGTGCCATGCTACCTTGTTCTCTAGCAAAAACAAAATACTAAAGGCTTTTCAGCTTGTTTACAAAAAAAACAACACTCTTAATCTTAAACCCGAATGGGAATAAATTTCAATTCCATGAAAATACCTATTGCAGTGCCATATTATCTGCTTTTCGATCATAAATACTATATAGATGGTTTGTGACTTTCAAATAGCAAAAATGTAGCTCTCCTGTGTTAAAGAGCAATAAATATACAGCCATGCCACTCTTAAATTACATTAAAACCTAAGTAAGCTACTATAAGAAAAAACATTTAAAAACACCGAAATAAATATAACCGTATGTGTGTTTCTAGAAGTTACCTGTTTAGAACAAGTAGGAGGAAGAGCTTTTCTCTTCCTTCCAGCCCCTAGGACTCTGCACGTGTTAAAAGAGCAAGAACCGGAGAGCTATGCCATCCTTGAGTGTACAGTCGAAAGCTAAATGAGCCAAGAGAAAAATTGAAAACACCGAAATAAATATAACCGTATGTGTGTTTCTAGAAGTTACCAGCTTCGAACAAGTATGAGGAAGAGCTCTTCTGTGCCCTCCATCCCTAGGCCTGCACCACTCAGAAGGTGGACCGCCCGCCCCGCTGCAGCCCCGAGGGGGAGCAGCCGCCGCCGCGAGGGCCTCCCTGGATGCGGAGGAAGCCCAGCGCCGCCTCCAGGGCAGGCGGCCAGGCCGTGGCCGAGGCCGAGGCCGAGGCCGAGGCAGCGGCGGCCGAGGCCCCCCTGGCCGTGGCCGAGGCCGAGGCCGAGGCAGCGGCGGCCGAGGCCCCCCTGGCCGTGGCCGAGGCCCCCCTGGCCGAGGCCCTGGGCCCCGCGCGCTCCTCCTGGTCTAGCAGAGCCTCGGCGTACAGCTCGGGGAAGCAGCTGGGCACGGTGTCGTTGATCTTGGCCAGGACCTGCAGCACCTGCATCTTGCTGGTCTCGGCGCGGGCTCGCGGGCCCCACAGGAACTCGTGGCGCGGGGGGTCGCTGGCCGGCACCTGGCGGTACTCCAGGTAGCCCTGGCGCACCAGGTCTTGGGTGAGGAGCTTCCGGGGCTCCCCGAAGATCAGGTGCCACCTGCCCTCGTAGACGCCCAGCATGTGGAGGAACTCCCAGATGTCCTCCTCGGCGGCGCGGTTGCCCTTCATGAAGATGACGCCCAGGAGCGTCATGAGGAGGCCGGTCTTGGGCAGCTCCCGGGTGCTGGTGGCGGCGGCGGCCAGGCCCAGCTTGCTGACCAGGGCGTACGACTGGCTGCGGGCGTCGACCTCCCTGAGCTCCAGGCCGAAGACCAGCTCCAGGCGCTCGGCGGCGCACCGGAAGATCTCGGGGAAGTGCTCGCGGTACTTCCTGCCCACCGTCTTCAGCAGCGCGGCCCGCGGGACGGGCTCCCCGCTGCTGTGCTTCTCCAGCAGGAGCTGCACCAGCATGCTGGCCTTGCGGCTGAGGGGGTCCCTGCGGGCGCTGGGGCCGGGGGACCCGGCGGGGGTCCCGGCGCCCTGCTCCCGTGGCGACCCCGAGGCGGAGGCGGAGGCGGAGGCGCCGGGAGACCCGGGCCGCGGGGCCGCCGCCGCCTCGGGGGCGCGCGGGGGACTGCCCTGCAGGCTCAGCGAGGGGATGCAGGGGGGCTCCTCGGCCGCGGCCGCCGCCGCCGCCGCCGCCGCCGCCGCCGCCGCCGCCGCCGCCGCCCCCCCGACACTCTCCTCCCCGTGGCCCTCGTGGCGTTTCTTGCGGGCACGGAGCTTGCTCTTTTGGCCCCGAGGCATGGCGACCCTGGGCAGGGCTGGCAGGCAGCGGGGGCACCTGGAGAGGGGGACAGGGAGGCGGGGTGAGCCCCTTGGCGGGGGGCCCGGGGTGCGGGCGGGGGTGTTGTCGGGGTACCCCCACCCCCGCTCCGAAGGCCACCCCGAGTCTTCCATGGTGCCCCCGAGGACGAAAGAGGGAGCACTGTCCAGCCCGCCCGTGAAGTCAGGGGGCAGGACGGGGCAGGCCGTCGTCTCCCTGGAGCCGTCTCGTCAGCCGGGTGCCCCCCCGCAGCCCGCCCTCGGGGTCCTCCCGCCCTCGGGGTCCTCCCTCCTCGGGGTCCTCCCGCGGCTGCTGGCGCCGCGGGACCTGCCGCCTCGCCCGGACGCTGGCCACTCAGGCCCACGGCGGCAGGGCCTCGACACTGACTAGGAGCGAGCGAGGCTGACCACGCAGCCCCACGTGCCCGACACCGACGCCGACGCCGACGCCGAGCGAGCCTGAAAGCTGCGGCAGACACGCGGGGGCTCCTGGCCCGCGCCCCGCTGTCCGCCCTCGGGCCCTCGGCTGGCCTCCTGGCGGTCCCCGGGAGCCCGCCTGCCGCCCGGGGCCTCCCCTCCCGGGCCAGCAGCTCCGGGGCCGACAGCAGGGCGCGTGTTCTGAGGTGCGCTCGTTCCGGGGACTGTGGCCTCACCCCGACTCCCCGCGAGACCCGGAACGGCCCCCGCGGCCGACCTGCTGCCTGTCCCGACCAAGGCCCCATGTCCCCGGGGTGGGTATGGAGCGCCCCCCACCCCCCACCCCCAGCCCTCACGAAGGCCCTCCTTCTCGCCAGCGGGCCTGGGACTTCTCCCCGTGCTGCGCGGAGCCAGAGTCCAGCAGCCTCGGGCCAAGCCTGCAGTCCCTGAGCCCCCGCGGGGGCAGCAGCAGTGGGGGCAGCCATGTTGGGGCCTCCGAGGCGCGGGAGCAGGGGCCGAGCGGGGCAGGGTGTGTGTGGACCCCCTTTCCCAGGGCAGATGGGGCCGGGGCTTGTCGGGGCGCCGTGCCCGCGGCCTTAACCCGGGACTCCTGGCTCCTGGACGCCGACGGGCGCGAGGGACCCCCGTCTGGGCTCACCCTAGGCAGGAGCGGTCCGACTAGGCCTCGCCGCCCACCGCGTGGTCAGGAGGAAGTCCTTGAGGGCCACTTCCGGTCACGTGGGTCCGGGCCCCCCGGGAAGCCCGCGTGGGCGGGGGGGGGGCTGCGGTGTGCTGGGGCGCAGGGGAGCCGCCTGCAGTTTGGCGCGCGGGCTTTCACTGCCTCTGAGCAGCTCGGGGGCCTTCTCCCTCTGCTGCGCTGACGCCACTGCCCTCGGACCAAGGGTCTCCGGTCCCTCCCAGCGTCCCCCCGTAGGAAGTGTTTGGGGGCCTCCTGGCACCTGCCAAGCCTGGTCCTTCCCCAGTGTGATAGCACACATAGTCTTTCGACGCCGCTTATGTGATCAGGGGCACCCCTCATCTCATATCTCTGTGTCTTACTTCACTCTTTGGCTACATCCAATCAGCTGACCTAATGCCAACTCTTCACACCAAAGACATTAGGTCTGTGAGCTTCCTGATATGAATTCCAGGTACACCTCCTTGGCCACTCCTGCCTGAGACTCCCCAGAAATGGCTGCTTTAAGGTGAGAATCTTGTTGGGTTCCCTCTTCTGGGTGGAGAGGCCCATCGTATTTTTCATTCAGGGAACTTGCAGTGAGTTAGCAGGTCTGCAATTCCCTCCTTTTCTCACTTGGTACCTCCCCCCACGCCCCATCAAGGGCCTTAGGAATCCTGTGGGCAAGTGGAGTGCTCCTTAGCCTGACCAACTTCCCAGGGCTTCTTTTAGCTGACATCATTTTCATCGCTCCAAGTTCCTGGAGTGAATTTCTATCATTATGTGCAATTATTGTGATACTTGCCAGTCTATTTTAGTTTGTGCCTTGTACCTTTTATTCTATTAAGATGTTAAAAAAGGCCAGTCCACATTCATTGGCAAATTTTCAAGTGGTTATTAGCACAGCCTGTGGACTCGTACTGCCACAACCAACCCATAGTTTATTGTAGTCCTGATATTACCCTTTGGTCCTGGCACTTAGGCTCTGAGGAGCTGCCTCTGTTCCCTTTTTGAGGCTGTAGAAATTCATTGTCTCAGGGAATTATTGTAAGAGTCAGGGGCTGAACTGAAAACTTTCCCTCTAGTCAATCCTGTCATTGGCCTCTCTTGCAGGCCAGGTACCATTCTCAATCCCAGAGCTGGCCTCCACCTGCTCACACAGAGGCTCTAGTTCAATACACAATTAGTATTCCTCAGGAGCTTTTCAGTTTTGTTGTTTTGTTCTTGTTGATATTGGTTTTTTATTTCTTTTTAAGATTTTCAGGGTTGATTTTGATTATGGGGAAAAGCAACCTGAGTTGGTGACATTTTTGTAGCTATAGGTAAGGCAATGAATCTTTAAATATGTTAAAGAGAGTTAACATATTTATAATATTCCCTCATATATGAATAAACATAGTAAACTGCTTTTTTCAAAGCAGTTTTTTTCAAAAGAATTTTTTTCAAAAATTCTTTTTCCTGTCTTTCAGTAAGTTTTTTAAAAAGTTTTTATTTAAATTCAATTTAATTAACATATAGTGTATTATTAATTTCAGAGGTAGAATTTAATGATTAATCAGTTGCATATAACACCCAGTGCTCATTCCATCAAGTGCCTCCTTAATGCCCATCACCCAGTTACCCATTCCCCCACCCACCTCCGCTCCAGCAACCCTCAGTTTGTTTACTGTATTTAAGTATCTCTTATGGTTTGTCTCCCTGTTTTCATCTTATTGTATTTTTCCTTCCCTTCCCCTATGTTCGTCTGTTTTGTTTCTTAAATTCCACATATGAGTGAAATTATATGGTCTTTGTCTCTGACTTACATATTTCACTTAGCATAATGCACTCTAGCTCCATCTATGTCATTCCAAGTGGCAAGATTTCAGTCTGATGGCTAATATTCCATTGTATATATACACCACCTCTTCTTTATCTGTTTATCTGTTGATGAACATCTGGGCTCTTTCCACAGTTTGGCTATTGTGGACATTGCTGTTATAAACATTGGGGTGAATGTGCCCCTTCAAAATATTATTTTTGTATGCTTTGTTTAAATATCTTGTTATGCAATTCCTGGCTCTTTTGGGTAGTTCTATTTTGAACTTTCTGAGGAACCTCCATACTGTTCTCCAGAGTGGTTGAACCAGCTTGCATTCACACCAACAGTGTAAGAGGGTTCTCTTTTCTCCACGTCCTTGCCAACAGCTGTTGTTTCCTGAGTTGTTAATTTTAGTCATTTTGACTGGCATAAGGTGGTATCTCATTGTGGTTTTGATTTGTGTTAGTCTATCAGTACGTTTTTATAGTTATCTCCTAAAGAATTTGTAGACATCTGGTTTTGTATTAGGTATATCTTGGAGATTATTATTGTTTTCAGTGATATATTTTCCATTACGTGTTGTAATTTGTTAGTGATTTTGTTTTATCACATTCCTTAATTTGCTATGTTGATCTTTTATACACCATCTTTCTGAAGTTGCTTATGTATCTTAATAATTTCTGTACCAATTACTTGGAACTTATAAATTAAGAGATCATATTGTTACCATTGTTACCTTTTTCTTTTCATTATTCTTTCCTCTGATTTACTTTGGTATTCATATTCTTGTATAATAGTTGTGTACTGTGTATGTATTTTCATCCAATTGTAGACAGTGGAATTGATACCACATATCTTTGTTTTCTTGTCAAACCTATTGAGTATGTTTGCAGTGGTTCCCATTTAGTAAATCCATTGTAGATTTTAGAAAATGGACATTTCTTTCTTTCTTTTTTTTTTCAATATGGAATGCTTAACAAATTTGCATGTCACCCTTGCACAGAGGCCATGCTAGTCTTCTCTGTATTGTTCCAGTTTTAAAATGAGCACGGAAATTCTTTTGCAATGCAAGCTTGCCAAAACTTATTATCATTAACAAGTTTTACTTATTTATTTATTTTGTCAAAGGCTTTTTCTTTACCCTTACACATAGTCCAATCCTTATCCCCTCTTTTTTTGCTAACATAGTTATTTCCATCTGGCAGCATTTTCTAGTGTTAATTCACTGCTATATTGGAAATACTATGAATTTATTTAAGGTATTTATCTCTGTGCATGTGAGCTTGGCTTGTTATTTTATGGGAGGATTCTCACCTGGTCTTTGTATCAAGAAGAGGTAGCGTATTTTAATGGTTGATAACTCCCTATATTTTTGTATAATTTTTAAAAGTTTACATGAGGTAGTGGTTACTTTTTCCTTTACCATTTTGTGTAACAAGCCCTAAGGCCTGGATAGCCCTAGAGTCTTTTGCTGTTGCCTTGGATTGGACTGCTGTTTCAATTTCTATTTTGTTGATTGAAGGGGTCTGTCTCTCTGTGGACCTATTTAGTCATTTATATTATGTTGACCTTAAAAATAAGCATCCAGTTATCTTACCTAGAAAATGAGTTTATTTGGAAATAGTAGGAAATTTCAGTTTGGAACTTGAAAGCTATTGCACAATCATAGGCAAGTCCAAGAACAAAGGAGAGGAATACTCTTATAGACGAAAAGAGGAGTTGGAGGAGCTCTTATAAAGTCCACTGGAATAAACTGGGAGTTTGAAATGGCTTTTCATTGGCTGAGTTGTGACCGTCTCTTATTGGCTGGGCTATTACTGGGCCAGGAAAAATTCTTTTCTCCTTCTGCTCTTGTACTGAAGTATGTATGATCTTCTTCCTATTGGGAATACATTTCTACCTGTCTGCAATTGAAGACAAGTGGTAAATTATGAGAGCTCCCCTTTTCTGGCCTCCTAATTCCATTTTAAATGAGTTTTCCTTTATTTAATTTCACAAAATTTAATGAAAATGCTCCATTTTACAGGCATATCTCAAAGATATTGCAGGTTCAATTCCACACTACCATAATAAAGCTAATACATATTGCAATAAAGCAAGTCACATGAATTTTTTAGTTCCCAGTGCATCTAAAAGTTGTATTCACACTATACTGTAGTCTATTACTTTTGCAAAAGCATTATGTCTTAAAAAAAAAAAAACAGTGTGCCTACTTTAATTTAAAAATAGCTTAATGAAAATGCCAAGCTCATGTAGTTCTGTTTATGTGGGACAGATTAAGTGAAATTTCTAAATGCCTTTTCAGCTATAAATGCATTAAACTGGTATTTATTCATGATATATTAGTATAAAATATGTGTTACTTTTATGCAATTTGAAGGATACTTGAAGTACATTTAAATTATTTAAAGTGAGAAGATGGTAATTTCCATATTGAAATTATAACTCAACTTGCTAGGACTTTAAGAAGTTGTACTATGTATTCAAAGGTGAGTGTGTTTTAAATAGTCATCAAAGATGGTGATATGTAGGGAAAAAACTTCAAATACTGATTATACTAGAAGAGGAAAATGAGGAAATTGCTTTTTAATTACTTCTGAAGAAAATTAGAGCTTGATTGATGCTCAAAGAATACCTATTGGATAGATTGACTGGCTGTTTTATATGGTGAGACACTGAGCTGAGATATATATGATAAGATGTGGTATAAGGCATACCTTGGAGATACTGCGGATACTACTAGAATAAAGCAAATATTGTGACAAAGAGAGTCCATTTAATTTCTTATTTTCCCAGTTCATATGGAAGTTATGTTTACACTATATTGTAGTCTTTTCAATGTACATTTTGTCTCTAGGAAGTACATATCATTATATGGGGCGCCTGAGTGGAACAGTGTGTTGGGCACCAGACTCTTGGTTTTGGCTCAGGTCATAATCTCGGGGATGTCAGAATTGAGCCCCACGTCAGACTCTGCTGGGCATGGAGCCTGCTTAAGCCTCTCTCTGCCCCTCTCCCCTGTGTACACATGCTCTAAGTCTTTCTCAAATAACTAAATCTTTAAAAAAATTAAAAGTACATATCATAATAAAGAAGTACCTTATTACTAATAATTGTTAGATATAATTTGGGCTTTCAGTGAGTCATAATCTTTTTGTTGGTAAGAAGGTCTTCTTGCCTTGATGTTGATGATCGCTGACTGATGAGGCTTGTGGTTTCTAAAGGTTGGGGTGGCTGTGGCAATGTCTTAAAATAAGACAACAATAAAGTTTGCCAGATCGACTGACTCTTCTCCCACGCACAGTTTCTCTGTAACATGTGCTGCTGTTTGATAGCATCTTCACCAGGAGTAGATTTCATTTCATAAAATCCCTTTCTTTGCTCATCCATAGGAAGCAAATCCTTATCCATTCAAGTTATTTCATGAGATGGCAGCATTTCAGTCATATCTTCAGGCTCCACTTAATTCTAGTCCCCTTCCTTTTTTTTATTTTTATTTTTATTTTTTTTATTTTTATTTATTTATTTTTTTAGTCCCCTTCCTTTTTCACCACATCTGCAATTGCTTCCTCCACTGAAGTCTTGAAACCCACAAAGTTATCCATAAGGACTGGAATAACTTTTTCCAGACTCCCATTAATATTGATATTTTTACCTCTTTTCGTGAATCATCAGTGTCCCTAATGGCACCTAGAATGGCACATCCTTTACAGAAGGTTTTCAGTTGGCACTGCCCTGATCCATCAGGGGATTCACTAGCTATGGCAGCTGGAGCCTTATGAAATGTGTTTCTTAAACCATAAGACTTAAAAGTTGAAATTAACTCCTTTATCCATGAGCCGCAGAAGGGATATTGTATCAGCAGGCATGAAAAAAAAAACATTAATGTCCTTGCTCCTCTCCCTCAGAGCTCTCAAGTGACTGGGTACATTGCCAGTAAGCAGTCATATTTTAAAAGGAAACTTTTTTCGGAGCAGTAGGTCTCAGCAGTGGGCTTAAAGTGTTCAGTAAGCAGGTGTGCTGTCATCCAGGCTTTGTTTTTCCATTTATGAGCACAGACAGAATGCATTTAGCATAGTTCTTAAGGGCCTGAGGATTTTGGGAATGGGAAATGGGCTTTGGTTTCACCTTACAGTCACCAGCTACATTAGTCCCTAAGAAGAGAGTCAGCTAGTCCTTTGAAGCTTTGAAGCCAGGCTTTGAGTTCTCCTCTCTAGCTGTGAAAGTCCTGGATGCCATCTGCTTCCAATGGAAAGCTGTGGATATCATCCACACTGAACATCTGTTTAGTGTAGCCACCTTCATAAATGATCTTAGCTAGATCTAGGGAATAACTTCCTGTCGCTTCTACATTAGCACTTGGTGCTTTTCCTTTATACCGTTATGTTGCGCAGATGGCTTCTTTCCTTAAATCTCATGAACCAACCTCTGATAGCTTCAGATTTTCTCTTGTGCAGCCTCCTCACCTCTCTCAACATTCAAAGAATTGAAGAAAGTTAGGGCCTTGCCCTGGATTAGGCTTTAGCTTAAGGGTATGTATGTATATTGTGACAGGTTTGATCTCCTATCCAGACCCCTGAAACTTTATCCATTTCACTTTTGTGGGCTCATTGTAGTAGTACTTTTAATTCTCTTCAAGGACTTTTCCTCTGAATTTACTGTTTGACTGTTTGGTGCAAGAACCTTAGCTTTCAGCCTATCTTGGCTTTTTTTTTTTTAAGATTTTATTTATTCATTTATGAGAGACACAAAGAGAGAGGCAGAGACGTAGGCAGAGGGAGAAGTAGGCTTCTCTCAGAGAACCTTGATGAGGTGCTTGATCCCAAGACCTTGGGACCATGCCCTGAGCAAAAAAAAAGGTAGACACTCGGCCATCTTGGGTGGCTCAACATTTTAGTGCCGCCTTCAGCCCAGGGCGTGATCCTGGAGTCCCGGGATGGAGTCCCACATCAGGCTCCCTGCATGGAGCCTGCTTCTCCCTCTGCCTGTGTCACTGTCTCTCTCTCTCTCTCCGTGTCTCTCATAAATTAATAAAATCTTAAAAAAAAGGTAGACACTCAATCACTGAGCCACCCAGGTGTCCCCTATCTTGGTTTTTGACATGCCTTCCTCACTAAGCTTAATAATTGCTAGCTTTTGATTTAAAGTGAAGGATGTAGAAATCTTCCCTTCATTTAAACACTTAGAAGCCATCGTGGGGTTACTAATTGGCCTAATTTCAATATTGTTGTGTTTCAGAATAGAAGGAGGAGAGATGGTGAGAACAACTGGTCAGTGGGAGAGTCAGAACACACATAACATTGATTAAGTTTGCCATCTTATGGGTATGATTCTTGGCACCTCAAAACAATTACAGTAGTCACATCAAAGATTATTGATCATATTACCATAACACATATAAGAATCATGAAAAAGTTTGAAATATTATGAGAATTACCAAAATGTAACACAGAAATATGAAGTGAGGAAATTGTGTTGAAAAAATGGCACCAATAGTCTTACTTTACCCAGAGTTGCCATAAAACTTCACTTGGTAGAAAACATGATGATCTGAGAATTGCCATAAAATGAGATCTGCCTGTACATCACTTTTCTTTTCTTTTAAGGATTTATTTATGTATTTTTAGAGAGAGAGAGCACAAGCAGGAGAGGCAAGAGGGAGAGGAAAAGAGAACCTCAAGCAGGTTCTGTGCTGAGCACAGAGCCTGATGCGGGGCTCTATCATATGACCCTGAGATCACGACCTGAGCTGAAACCAAGAGTTGGACATTTAATTGGCTGTGCCACACAGGTGCCCCATCTCACATTTTATATTAAAGGCAGGATATTTAAATAGAGCCCTTTTATTATAGAAATTCTCAAATATATACAAGAGTGAACCCAGTTACCTAACGTTAATCCACAGCAAGTCTCGATTTTTATAGATAGAATCCTATTCAGATTGAGGTTTAAGTGTTTGTTTATTGGCAAATACACTCCAGAGGTAAAAATCTGCACTTCCATCAGGATGTGTATGATATCTGTTGTCTCCTTTGTGGTAATATTGGCAGTCATATTCTTTTAA